TCCCGCCTGGCGCATTACAACAAGCGCTCGACCATCACCTCCAGGGAGATCCAGACGGCCGTGCGCCTGCTGCTGCCCGGGGAGCTGGCCAAGCATGCCGTGTCGGAGGGCACCAAGGCCGTCACCAAGTACACCAGCGCTAAATAGTGAGTTGATTGCAAACTCAATCATAACGGCTCTTTTAAGAGCCACCCATTTTCTCAAAGAGAGAGCTGGTGCTTGTATTCTTTCTGTGCCGGCCATTGTAACTCGCTATTGTGTTTCTTATTCTTATTCTTTTTCTTTATTTATTTACTTTAATAGATGAGGTGTCAGCATATTGGCCAGGCTGGTCTCGAACTCCCGACCTGAAGTGATCCACCCGCCTCCGCCTCCCAAAGTGCTGGGATTACAAGCATGAGCCACCATGCTCGGTGTTACTGTGTTTAAGTTTGAAGTAGAGCAGTTATTTAACAATAGGGCCGTTACTGAACAATTATTAATGACCTTTCCTGCCAAAGTAAGCTGGAGATATGCCAACGACTACAAATGTGACATAATCTGACCCTGAACTTTTTATTGCCTAAAAATGTTCTATTCTCATCCCCTTAGAGTTAAGTAAGGAGATAGGAGATTTTCTATTATAAGTTCGAAGCAAGTTAAAATACTTGCCGGTCACCCATTGGATGAGTTGCACTAGTGCTGAGCTGCAGTGGTTTTCAGTTTGAATTTGCCCGGGCGGCGCCCGCCCTTCCTCTCTACATCCTGACTGGTTGCTATATCCAGGAAGTCCATGGTTGGCTTGAGTGTGCCAGAGGAATCCAATCCTCGCCTTTATTTGGTCCTTCCTACAAACTGTAATCTATCAGTTTCTCATTCTTAATGCTTTCGGGAAGGAGATTTATTTCCTCTCAATTTTAGTTGGATAGAACGAAATTTATTTTTTGCTTTTATTAATTTACTCATTTTTTTGAGATGGAACCTCACTCTGGCCCAGACGGGAGAGCAGTGGCTCGATCTCAGCCTCCCCCTCCTGGGTTCCAGCGATTCTCCTGCTTCAGCCTCCCAGATAGCTGGGATTACAGGCATGCACCACTACATCTGGCTAATTTTTGTATTTTTAGTAGAGACAGTTTCACCATGTTGGCCAGGCTGGTCTCGGACTCCTGAAGTCTTGAATGTCATTGTTTACTTTTTCTGGAAGGAGAGTGACCTAAGATACTGATCTAAACTGAACGTGCATGGCTAATGGTTTGGATAGACAGAGATTTTAAGTAGGCAAAAGTGGAGGTTGTGTTGACAAGAAGTTTTGGGAAACAGTGATGTGGATGAATTTCCCAGAATGGTTCCAGATTATGAGAATGATGTCCCACGTGAATGCTAACCAAAATTCCCACTCTTGGGAGGAGGCTATCAACAATCAAGTACACATCAACCACATGGCTGTCAGTAGTCTCTTTTCCTATCACCCCACTTACTGCCCAAGTGATTTATTTGTAAACCATGTGACCAGGGTGGCAGGCAGTGGTAGAGGTCATACTTCAGCTCTGTAGTATAGACTTAGCTCACCAAGACTGACCTGGATACTGATGCTAAGTGTCCCATATGGCAGGGGAAGTATTCTTGCAAGTATTTTGTCATGAATGAGGCAAATTTTGTCTTTACTGAGATAAACACTTAATCTAGATTTGGGTATTGTTCACTTTCCTACATGCTATAGCTAGCAGGACCATCTATGAACTTACTGAACACTTTATACCTCATATCTCAACATTTTTTGGACCCATTTCTATACATTAAACAGAAAGGGAAGGGCAATGCATGGATGACCATGGGACTCAGTAGTCCTAATGTGTACCATATTTCTTATTAGCAGAAGTCTCAATTTTTGGAAGATTCAGTTAAAGTGGCATGTAGTCATTCAGCACCCTCCTGGAGTGCCGCTCAATTTTGGATGTTGTATATGTGCTGAACAGTGACTAAGAATAGGCATAATTTCTTCTGTAGCCAAAATGCATTGGTTAAAGAAAGGAGACGTGGAAACGTAGTGGTGCTCTCTTATTACACTTAATAATGAGCTGATAAAAGTTATGCTTTTCATGTTTGCAACTCAGGGCTCTCTGCTGTTTTTTGTTTTAGAAAAGGAGAAGTACATATTCCCACCAGTAGTCACGGAGATGCCTCTTTTTATTGATTTACCAAAAATGATTTATTTTTATATGAAGTTTAAAGCAATTTAAATTACATTCATTTGGTGGCTTAGAGAACCGTGGGAAGACTTGACTTACAGAAGTTGGGCTTTTTGGACTCTCCTCTGTTTGCCAGTTTTCTTTTTGTTTCTGTTCTTCCCCTACCGCCCCCTGCTTTTTGTCCCCTGACTGTCTCAGTCTACCTCTTTTTAGGGTTATAGGCAAGGAGCTGTGACAGACAACTTGGGTGTTTTTAAAATTACTCTCATAAAAAATATACCTTTGTTCAGGTGTGGTGGCTTACACCTGTAATCCCAGCACTTTGAGAGGCTGAGGCAGATGGATCACCTGAGGTCAGGAGTTCGAGACCAGCCTGGCCAACATGGTGAAACCCGGTCTTTACTAAAAATACAAAAATTAGCTGGGTGTGGTGGTGTGCACCTGTAGTCCCAGCTACTCCAGAGGCTGAAGCAGGAGAATCACTTGAACCCAGGAGGCGGGGGTTGCAGTGAGTCAAGATTGTTCCCCTGCACTCCAGCCTGGGCTACAGAGCGAGACTGTCTCAAAACAAAACATTTTTTTTTCCCAAACCCTTTTCAAAGAATGGTTTAAAAGCAATGGCAATCCAGGATCAGTGAGAATTCCCACCCAGATTATGGTCTCTCAATTCCTTTTTCAAAGAGCAGGCAGGCTACTTGGAGACTTGTAAATTTATGGATCATAATAGATTTAAGAGGAACAAACAGCAGTCATATTTGCCATATTTGGATCTGTTGGGGTCCCATTCAGACAAAAATCACTATAAAAAATTTTTGAGACAATTCAAGATTTTCTTTCTTTAACGGCTAGGTATTAGATAATGTTACAAATTATTTTTAAATTTTTTTTTTTTTTTTTTTTTTTTTTTTTTTTTTTTTTTTTTTTTTTTTTTTTTTAAGATGGGGTTTCACCATGATGGCCAGGCTGGTCTTGAACTCCTGACCTCAGGTGATCCACCCACTTCGGCCTCCCAAAGTGCTAGGATTACAGGCGTGAGCCACCGCGCCCAGCCTAAAATTTTCTTAGGTGTAAAATCTTAAGTGTATTTTCTTTATATCCATATCTGTTAGGATCTTTGTGAAAATATTCCTGATTAACATATTTGGGATTTCATGTTTGGGATTTTTTTTAGACTCCCTCATCCGCCAGTGTGGCTCTGGATAAAGAAAAAAAATGGGCAAGTTGTTGGTACAAAAAAAGGTTAAAATAATAATAATGATAAAGCTGGCCAAATCAATGAACGTATTTCTTTTCTGGTCAACAAAGGGCTACACTGAGAGGAATGAGCGTGTAGAGGAATGCTGGCGACCGCACTTAGAGAACGTCAGGCAGCTTGGCGGGCTGGAGAGCAGCTGTTGGCACAGGGAGGAGCTCTCGGGCCGCCCCCTCCTTCTTTCCCGCGGGCGAGTTGTGAAGCGCTGTCACCATCTTGTGGCGATAAGAGGATAATGTAGCTCAAACTTTGCTTAGTTTTACGATTTCGATTAGGCATTTCATTGCTATGGTTTAATGATTGCATATACAAAGAATGCCATAAATCATCCCATCTCGAACAGCCCCCAGCCGCCCAGTTCCCTCATCTACTTGGCAAATATTCTTTTTTTGACCAAACTCCAGGCAGCTTCTGAGCTCTCTTCTGGACTAGGCAGCCATCTTGGCCTAAAAAGACCTAAACAAACCCGAACATAGTTCCTAATGGCCCCGGTCTCCTTGAGCACCTGCCTGAGAAAACTCAACTGATGCCGCCAAAAGAATTTACCGTTTGTTTCAGTCAACATCTGAAGATAGGTCCCTCGTCTCCCAGGTTCTGCAGTAGGTGTGGAGCCTGATGTAGATATGTATGGGCCAGTTATGAAACCCAGATGGTTCCCCACTGTCAGTGATTACTAAATAAAATCTATTTTTGTCATTTAAACTAACGCCTGGCTGTGTCTTATCTTTGATATACCGCAATGAAGCACTTTAATTAGTTTCCTGTGTACCTGCCTGGAATATCTTTTTAGAAACACAAATAAATGTGCCCCCTTTCATTCAAATTTGCCCCTTTTCGTTCAAATGGCTGATGGTCACATGTTCTTCACAGGTTTTGCCTCTTGCTTTTCTCATTAACTACCTGTCTTTCCTATTGCAGGTGGAGTGGCTGAAACTTCTCAGCAGGCACACCCACACTAGTGACCTGAGGAGAGAAACCTTAACCCCACAATGGCTGCATCTTCTCTGAGGATGAGGCTAATGCTCATATTTTAAATGAAGGGCAGTGTGTGGATTTCTCCACGAAGGTACCCAAAAACAGCCCTGCCAGAGCTGCTGTGGGGTGGCTAAACTGCTATTCCTTTTCTAGGGTGGGGTCCCCACTCTTTGTAAGGAAGGATATTGGGGTCCTAACACAGGGAACCATCTTGCCCATGAGGCCTCCTTGTCATTGAGCACCCCATCTGTGTTTCCTGTTCCAATTTACAACTATTTTTTGGTCATAATATATATCAAGATCTGAGATGCTATGTTTTACTTCTTCATTGGCTTACTATTATTACTGTGCAACCCTCCACACAAATTTTTTTGGCACTGGATTTGAGGGTTGTGGGGTAGGTTATATTTTGATCACTTGTATTTCTCAGCTTCTAAAACAGTGCTCAGGAAAGCACATCTATGAGTAAAGTCATACTCCTCTGTTCCGCTGTTGCCAACTGGAAGATACCGAGGGAACTTTCTTTACTTTCCTTAGGGGATGATCCAGAAGATGAAAAACAACTTGTCATTCTGTGTTCCTTACAGCTGAATTCCCAGTTTTTGCTCCTGGGGAAAAAAAAAAAAAAAAGCTAATTCAGTTTTGTTAAAAATTCTTTTTACCTGAATTTTTTTTTGTTAATGATTATTAGCATATACAGTGTTTTCTTTTCATATACCAAAACGGCAGTTGATACAGTGCATGACTTGAAAACATACCTGCCCTCTCTAAGGCTCAAACTCAGGACTGTATTATTTGGAAAGCCCTGTAGCCTGGTTGGGTTGTGGCTCCCAAGAAATCATACCTAACTTCCCTTCTTTGAGAGCACTGGTTTCTGAGTTTCCATTTCTCCCAGAAGAGAAACACTGGCTTGTAAGAATTTATGTGTCATCAAGGCTTCCTTTTTCACCCCTGAACTTAGGACCCAACCCTTGAGGGCTGTGCTGTCAACACCATTCCTTGCTCACCCTCTCTTTTGCTCTAATTATTTCTGTCTTCCCACCTCCAGAAATGTCAGTTACTCTTTCAGCAGCCCTTGTTTCCTCTCTGGCCCTAGTACCAAGTAGGTGACGTACAACTGAAAGGATGAATGCTGGCTAACTTGTCTCTAGCCTAGATGTCCCCTTATTTTAAATCTGCCTTTGCAACCACATGGCCTGAGACACTCCTCTTCAAAGTACCACCAAAAGGACATCATAAAAAATCACCACCACCATCATCTATTCAGGCCTATGCATTAGGAGACATAAAATATGAGTCATTTACATTGTTTTATTTAATCCAACTTAATTTTTTCCACAAACATTATTATCCTCATTTTAGAGATGGAGCTGAGCCTCAGAGGAGAAAACTTCCTTAAGTCATAACACTGATAAGATAAAAGAAAAAAAAAAAGTCATAACACTGGTAAGTGACAAAGCCAGTACTAGAAACCAGAGTAGTTTTGATTCTGAAATGTGTGTTCCTCCTATATCAGCTCATGTTCTCTCCACATTCCTTCTCTTCGTGTACCCAACAGTTCACCTGACACGTATTCACAGATTTGTGCCCTCTTTTATCCATTAGACATACATCCCCCACCTCCAATGACACGTCAGCTCATGTAGGTTATTCCTGCACATTTGCATTCTTTCCATTCATGGCATGTAGCATTTGGAGTAAATGCTGTGTCACATGTTTTCACTGTGGACTTCAGAGGCTGAAGGAACATGGCCTAGCATCTGGGGCCCTTGCTTGTTTGAAAAGTTTCTGGTTTCTCCACTTCTAGGCTCACCATCTTCCAGGCTTCCTGACAGATAAGAAATTTACTTCAAAGCTTACTTTGATAAAGTAACTCCTCTGCTCAGTTTTTCAAAAGAACTTACATCCTTTTAATCTGGATTTTTAGACCATTACTTGCTATATACGTTTTTTCCAGCTAAATTTTAAGAGATTATTTCTACCTAGAATGTATGTTTCAAGTCCAATTACAGGTTCTTCCCCTTTCTCATAGAGAATTTCCTATTTTCATGCCTGGGACCCCTACTCCCTATTCTGTCTTCAGTTTCATTCTCTAATGTCCATTCTTGATCTTTTTGATCTATTGTTTTTTTCTAAACTCACAGCTCTTTTAGCCTGTTTTGCGTTTTTGCTCTTCCACCATGTACTATGTGTGGCTTTTTTTCTGAACATTCCATCTCCTCAAGAATAGTAAGTATCACATTGTGACCTCACACTTTGTCAACAGGAGTAAACTTCAATCTGTTGATTTGTTCTGAAAAGAGTGGAAATATCTGGTTCTTTTTCTTTTCTTTTGAGAGAGTCTCATTCTGTCACCCAGGCTGTAGTGCGGTGGCACAATCTTGACTCACTGTAACCTCCGCCTCCATGGTTCAAGCAATTCTGCCTCAGCCTTCTGAGAGCTGGGATTACAGGCACACACCACCACACCCGACTAATTTTTGTGTTTTTAGTAGAGATGGGGTTTCACCATGTTGGCCAGGCTTGGTCTCCAACTCCTGACTTGAAATGATCCACCTGCCTGGGCCTCCCAAAGTGCTAGAATTACAGGTGTGAGCCACCGTGCCTGGTCAGAGCTGGTTCTTTTTCTTTAGAGCAACTTTTTATAGATTTCAAGGTAGAAAACATAATTTCTTTGTAACTTGCAATTTCTATAGTCGGCAGCCTCCTCTGCTCAGGCCTCGACAATGTATGGTTCCTACCCCCCCTGCCCCCCAGAAATGGGATCTTGATCTGTCACCCAGACTGGAATGCGGTGGCATGATCATGGTTCGCTGCAGCCTCAAACTGCTGGGCTCATGCCATCCTCCTACCTCAGCCTCCCAAGTAGCTAGAACTACAGGTGTGTGCTAGTACAATAATTTATTTTATTACAGACGAAGTCTTGCTGTGTTGCCTAGGTTAATCTCAAATTCCTGGCCTGAAGTGGCCCTCCTGCATAGGTCTCCTGAGTTGCTGGGATTACAATCATGTCTTGTTTGAAGGAAATTTGTCTTAATATGTTTCCTGCTCAAAACAAAATGTGACTCGTGATTTTCAAATTCTAAAATTCTGGTATATCTTAAAATGTCTATACTATAATATCACATAAATTAGCTTTTATGACGGAATTGTTGCTTTGTCATTAAACTTCCTTCTCTGGTAAGAAAAAGGTCTTGGGTTCAAGTCCTCACAGAATTTTGTTTTTGCAGTGTGTAGTCTTCCCTGATACTCATTTCTTTTGTGTTTTCTTGACAAAACTTTTACACCTGACCTACAAGCATTTGGATAGTTGGGAGAAGCTATAGTGGTATACCTTTTGTTTTATAAGAGTCTGTAAGACTGGTAATAGGGCAAGTCAATAGCTTTTACATTGTGTTTAGGCTTTTCAGCAAAATTGGATTTAAATATGTTTAAATATTTATATTTACAAACTGAAAAAGTCAATTTTATGTAAAAAAGCTATATGGGAGATGATCAGATTAATATACATATATTTTCTTTTTGAGACAGGTTCTGGCTGTGTTGTTCAGGCCGGAGTGCAGTGGTGCATTTTTGGCTCATGAAACCTCTGCCTCCCAGGCTCAAGCAGTCCTCCCACCTCAGCCTCCCAAGTATCTGGGACTATACCTAGCCCTTTTCTTTCTGTTTTTTGGTAGAGACAGGGTTTTGCCATGTTGCTGAGGCTGGTTTCGAACTTCTGGACTCAGGTGATCTGCCCACCTCAGCCTCCCAAATGCTGGGATTACCGACGTCAGCCACCATGCCTGGAACACACTAATATATTTTAATTTACTTTTAATCATGTTACAAAATCAATACTTTAAAGTTTATAGATTTGAATTCTAAAATTGTTTTACTGAGATCAAATTTATACACACATGGGAAAATATTTGGTTGACTCACAATGTTGTGTAAATGATGATGTCATCTTATTAAGATTAAAGTGTTCATCTGTACTTTAAAAACTTAAAGAAGACATTGTTTTACAAGACAATTTCAGGAAATGTTAACAATTTAAAATGTAATGGTCTTGGTTACTTTTCAGTTGCTTTTAGCTTTTCATTTTCCCTATTATGAATATAAGTTCTATGAAAATTTTTGTGTACGTCTTTTGGTGTATACATATGCTCATTTCTTTCTTTCTTTTTTGAGACAGAGTCTTGCTCTGTTGCCCAGGCTGGGCATGTTTCACCCTGTTAACAAGACTGGTCTCGATCTCCTGACCTTGTAATCCATCCACCTCAGCCTCCCAAAGTGCTGGAATTACAGGCTTGAGCCACCACTCCCCGCTTTTTTTTTTTTTTTTTTTTTTTTTAAGCTCTTGCCGCCAAGTGCTACACGTTTCTTCAATTTTGGTCTCTCGATTTGTCTTGAGCATTTAAGTAACTAAATTTCTCTCCTGGTGTGTTTCTCATGCTGTTTTTTTCTTTGTTTGTTTTTGTTTGTTTGTTTGTTTGTTTGTTTGTTTTTCTTTTTAAAGACGGAGTTTCACCATGTTGGTCAGGCTGGTCTTGAACTCCCAACCTCAGGTGATCCGCCCACCTTGGCCTCCAAAGTGCTTGGATTACAGGCATGAGCCACCACGCCCGACCCTGTTGTGCTGTTTTTTTGTTTTGTTTTGTTTTTGTTTTTGTTTTCTGCTTATCTTATTGATGAGTTTATTTTAATGTCCACAGTTGTAATGATTTCTAAAAGAAAGGGCTGGAGTAACCACACTCGAGTTTTTCCCCCTTTTTAGCCCTACACCTCCCCTCTCCCCTTTCTCAGGCTCCAAGGCGTCTTTGCAGTCATCAGGTAGGAATCCCACTTGAGGAATATTCATTAAGCTGACCACACAAACAATATTGACAATACCCAATCAACCATAAACTTAAAGATACCCAGCAACATCATCTTCCTGCCCTCTCTATTCCCCTCTCCCCTTTCTCAGGCTCAAAGGCGTTTTTGCAGTCATCAGGTAGGAATCCCACTTGAAGAATATTCATTAAGTTGACCACACAAACAATATTGACAATACCCAATCAAGCATAAACTTAAAGATACCCAGCAACATCCTAATACTGACAGGTTTACTAGAACCACTTTCTCCTCTCCAAGTCCAGGGATCAGAACTCCAGGAGAGATGAAAGGAAAGTTGGCTGGATTTGGATATTGTTTCTTTCTTTTCATATTAAAAGGCCTCATTCGACGAAGGTGGGATTCGAACCCACGCGTGCAGAGCACAATGGATTAGCAGTCCATCGCCTTAACCACTCGGCCACCTCGTCTGGATACAGCATGGTTCCTGAGCATTTTCTTTGAGAGTTTGTAATCGGAACCCACAGGCAGCCTTAAAAGAAGTTTTAGTGTACCAAGAACCTGAAAACAGAACAATGCAAAAAAAAAAAAGTCTTAGGAAACCGTTTGGAGATGTTTGGGAGGCGTGGAGATGGCTCGTTTCCACATGAATGAGCAAGAACTGAATGGAAAAGCTGCGAGGGGAAAAAACGAGTTTAGCTTTCATGGGACTCACAAATGTTTGAGATGTGGCAGAAACGTAGTTGCCGGGCCGGTCTCTCCCTTTCTCCGGCGTCCTGGTCCCGAGGCAGGAGGCACCTGAGCAGGCGGCAGGCCTGACCCGGCTGACGGGACGCACGGGGTTTGCCTTCGACCTGGGGCGGCAGGTGA